GCGTCGAGAGCATGCGTCGCGTCCTTTCTCACCTGTTGCTCGTCGTGCTCGTCGTGTTTGTCCTCCACCTGTACCAGGCACTAACACGATGGCACTTTGTCCTTCCTCTGTTACACAGCGTCCTCTCTTCCTGACGTTCCTGACCCTGAGTCTGACCTTGCTCGTGCTGCTAGTCCGAGTGTCACTCGTTGTCTGGCCACACTTGTCACTGACCCTACTTTTAAGTCCCCAAGGAAGTCACTGAGCTCGTTGACTTTGCTGTTGTGTGTCGCCTTGACTACTTCGCGAGTCTTGTTTCTGACTCTGCCTGTTCTCCGTCCGTCGGGGGTGAGCTTGCCCTTGGCTGTGACGTCCTTGAGGACAGGCAGTTTGAGCTGGAGTGTCTCGTGGCTATTGTACCTCATCTCGCTGCCATGCTGCTTGCCCCTGAGGGAGACCTGTTGGGTGCAAATTCACATTGCACGACATCCTGCCGTCTGTTTGTACGAGTATGCGTGTGCGAATGCATTTGGGTGTGAATGGAATGTTCGTGTGTTTGTTTGCTTTCGCAATTTTCGCTTGATGCAATTTGCAGGTACTCGCGCAATGTGCGCTTCGGCACAACATTGTACGTGCTATGAACAATGCAAGCAGAAAGGACGAGCTCGCAAAGGAACCCAAGAAGGAATCTTTGCAGTTCGGTTGAATTGATTGCGCTGATTCAGTTCTATCCAACTCGAAATTGTACTGTTTTATTTGGTTGACTATAGTGTAGCAGGGCAGGCACTATAGGGGTACAATTTAGGTGAAGGTTTTGTCTGTATCTGTATGCTACAGGGCCAGGGAAAACCAGCCGAACCAGCACTTGGCTGGTTGGGCAAAGACAAAACAGGTTCTGTTTTTAGGACCTGAACCTGGTTGTTGTTTTCCCAGGTTGGAAAGGAGAACCAGAGGTTGTTTACCAACCTACCACCTGCTGTTTTGTCCAGCCAGCTTGGTTCTGTTGCTTGGAATTATTTGGGATCATCCCTGGTTGTTCCCAGGTTTATTCCCAAGGTCCTTGCTAGCTAGAACTATTTATTCCTTCTCTGTTTGTACCTGGATATAGTGAAATTGATTCAAGCGAATTCCTTCCTTGCTGGAATTTCGTTTCTACGCGGTGCGACGGCGGAATGCTACCGAGTCAACGCTAGTACGCTAGCACTACGACGCTAGGCAAACGCTGTCCGAGCCATAACTTCGTAATGGCAGAACTTTTCGCGAGGCAACTTGGCTCTTTTGAAAGCTCTTAGAGTGAGCTTCGATATAGCGAGTTCTCAGCTTAATCCGATCGACGGTCTGCACGGCACGCTGCGCGACGTTCAAGGTACTCTTGCTGTTTTTACTAAGTCCCTCTTGATCCCTCTCTCTACATACTCGGACCCGAGGATAGGGGCTGGTCTTGTACCAAGCACCCAGGGACCCTTGGAGGTGACCCCGAGGAGAGGTTTTAAGTTGGATAACGTCTTAATAGCCTGAGTTTATTAGGCCCTTACACCAACAAGACCCGGATGCACTTGACATCCCGACCCCGCGCTCTTATGCAGAGGCGATCACGGGTCAGTACTCCTCTCAGTGGCAGACAGCCATGGACGCAGAGATGGCATCATGGAAGTCCACATGCACCTATGTCGACGCAGTTCCCCCTCCTGGGGCGAACATAGTCGATGGCATGTGGATTTTCAGGGTGAAGAAGCCGCCGGGTTCCCCGCCTGTCTTCAAGGCGCGTTACGTTGCACGAGGGTTCAGTCAGCGTCAGGGGGTCGACTTCTTCCAGACCTTCTCCCCCACCCCGAAGATGACAACTCTTTTGGTGTTGCTGCACGTTCCAGTACAGCGTAACTACGAGTTGCACTCCCTCGACTTCTTGACAGCTTTCTTGCACGGAAGCCTCCACGAGGAGATCTGGCTGCGCCACCCACCTGGCGTCACTGGGTCGTTTCCTGAGGGTACCCAGTGGAGCCTCCGGCGGCCAGTCTACGGTCTCTGTCAGGCGCCCCACGTGGCACAACACACTGAGGACGACACTTGCGGCTCTTGGTTTTGCTCCTTCGACTGCTGACCCGTTGCTGTTTCTGCGCACCGACCCTTCTCTGCCGCCGTTCTACATCCTCGTCTGCGTCGACGACTTTGTCTTTGCTACTGCAGACACTAAGGCACTGGCCCTTGTGAAAGCGGAGCTGCAGAAGAGACACACCTGCACTGACCTGGGTGAGCTGCAGAGCTATCTTGGCTTGCAGATCACCCGCAATTGAGCAGCGCGCACCATCACTCTAACTCAGTCACACATGGTGCAGCAGGTCCTTCAGCGCTTCCGCTTTCAGTTCTCCTCGCCACAGTCCACTCCTCTGCCTACGAGCCACTCGCTCTCAGCTCCACCTTCAGACGAGTCCGTAGAGCCGAGTGGTCCGTCTCCAGCGCTTGTGGGCTGCCTCATGTACCTGATGACGTGCGCTCGACCTGACCTCGCGTACCCTCTCAGCATCCTGGCGCTCTACGTTGCACCCAGGAGACACCGCCATTAGCACTACCGGGCTGCTACGAGGGTACTGCATTACTTGTGCAGTACATCAGGCATGGGGCTTGTTCTTGGGGGACCGGGCCCAGTTGTGCTCACATGGCACTCAGACGCTTCTTGGGCTGACGACCAGGCGACTCAGCGGTCGTCACAAGGTTACACTTTCAGTCTCGGCACTGGTTTTGTCTCGTGGAGGTCCACTCGCTCGTCTTCTGTGCTTAGCTTCAGCTGTGATGCCGAGATCTGCACTGGGGCTATGGCTGCGCAGGAGTTGGCTGACCTACTTGCTGACTGACTTGGGTGAGCGGCCTCGTTCTCCTCCAGTTCCGTGCGTCGACAACAAGGCCATGATTGACTGAGCAGAGACTGGAGCACATAACGAAGCACATTGCTCTTCGTTACTTTCTTGCTCGGGTACTGTAGCAGCGTGGTCAGCTGCGCCTTGCTTACGTGGCCTCACTGGCCAACACTGCTGATATCTTCACCAAGGCCTTAGGGTCTGGTGATCACCAGCATTTTTGCACTGCTCTAGGCCTTGTGCCTACTCTGCCTCACTTGCTTGTCTCTTGACATTGTGATATATATATCTAAATATCTGCATGCTTACTCTTGCTAGGTTTTGATCATTGTACTGCTTGTGCTCTTATAACACTGCGTGTGAACTTTCCTTTTGGCCACTTGCTTGTGCTCGGAATGTGTGGTGATCTTGAGATCCACCCTTTGCTTTGTTTTGTTTCTTCTCTTGACTGTTCTTGTGACCGCTTGTTATTCTTGCTATCCCCCACTTTGCCTATGGGGGTGTGTCAAATTATAATGCATGTATTGCTGGGCTGTAGTGGAGTAGCCTTTGAGGGGTACAACCCGTTTAGGGTTTGGTACTAGTTTCCTTGTAACTCCACTTTCTAGTCATTATTCTCTCACACATTCTGAAACCCTCCTCCTGGCCTGCTCTGACACTTCTGGGTGCGCCGTCGCATCTTCCATGAACCCCATGGCCAACTCCCTCTCTAGCGCCGTCGGCTCCTCCCGGCTTTGCGAGGCGTTGTCGTACACCATTCCCGGCACTGGTAATCCCTCGTGCTCCACAAAGGCACTCGCCCCTTCGAAGGAAACCAAGGTCGGCCATGCCTGCCGAGGTTTGCCCACTTTATTACATGGGAACTGCGTCCGGTGGTCAGGCTGCCTCACCGGAACGGGTACCCTCCTCGGCTCTATGATGTCTTGCACTAGCAGCGGTCCTGGCCTCTCCATGAGAGACGATCGGTACCGTAGTGCGGCCTCAGAAACTCCGTTCGTCCAATACATCCAATTCCACGCGCAGCTCCGCTTCACTGCACTGGTATGCCTCCCTCGGCTCCCTCCGCACGAACTTGACTGGGAGCTTTCCGATAGGGCCCCTCATGTCCCAGTACCGGAATCTGTACTCCACCTTCTCCTCCCACATGCAAATCATGGAACCTTCTCTATACAGGAACTCCACTCCGATGAGCAAGTCGAAATCTTTTGACTCCGACACTTCGCAGAACACTAGTAGCAGACACTCCTCCATCGTACTCGGGTTCAGCACCAACGCCATTGGCCTCCTGGTTTTTGGCATCCATTTTGCCTCTCCTCCCTCCGCTGCCATTAACAGGTATCCTTTCTCGACCAGTCGCCCCGGCTGCCGCAGCTGCAGCTTCTCCGCTAGCCAATTCCCAATCAGCACATGTGCTGCTCCGGTATCCACGAACGCTTGCTGCGCCACAAGACCTCCCACTGTGATGGCTCCCGGCTCAATCGTTAGCACGGTCGCCTGGCACGCCATATGCTCCAGCGGATGCCGGTATGTTGCGCCTTCCTCCTCATCCTTCTTCGCTAGCTTGCCGTCTCGGTCCGTCCTCCTGCCTTTCATCTTGCCGAAATAACTCCCTCCTTGCATGACTCCGTAACCCCAACTCCTCTCGGTCGCGCGCTGGCCTTGTTAGAATGTATATTTCCGCGCTGGCCTTGTAGTGTAGTTATGCTGTTTCTTGTAGGTGGTGCACCTTTCTTTGCGTGTTTGCTATATGTACTATCTGTGCTATAGTGAACTCAACCATTCTCACTTCCCTTGGCTCAACTCACTCGATACCTCCTTGGCCTAAGCTACTAAGCCTAGGCCCTTGTTAAACCAGCTTCCCAAGCTAAGATACTATTGTGACTTGGTATTGATCTAGCATTCCTAGCCTGTCAAATACTATGGGCCCACCAACCCGTCATGCTCACGTCCCCCGCTCGTAGCTAGTAGCCCGCACCGTCCGCCCGCAGCTCGTGGCGTTTTGCCCATGGCGTGCGCGGCCCATGGCGAGCACGCCGACGGACCCGCCAGAGCGCACGTCAGCAAGCCCGCCGACGGGCCCGCCACGGACCCGCCGACGGATCTGCCAGCGCACGCGTGGATAGCCTGCCGACGAACCCGCCGACAGGCCCGCCACCGAGCTCGCTGATGGACCCGCCAGCGACGCTCGCCAGGACCAGAGGCGGCCGTCTGCGTCAGCGCCAGCACAGCCGCCCGTCACCAGCACCCCGCGACCCCCACCCCGTTTCTCAGTCACCTCCTCGTCGCCTCCCCGTCGCATCCCCGTCTCCTCCCCGTCGCATCCCTGTCTCCTCCCCGTCGCCTCTCCGTCCCCTCCTCGTCGCCTCCCCGTCCCCTCCCCGTCACCTTCCCGTCGCCTCCCCGTCGCATCCCCGTCCCCTCCCCTTCACCTTCCCGTTGCCTCCCCGTCCCCTCCCCGTAACCTCCCCGTCGCCTCCCCGTCCCCTCCCCGTCACCTTCCCGTCGCCTCCCCGTCACCTCCCCATCGTGTCCCCGTCCCCTCCCCGTCACCTCCCCGTCGCGTCTCCGTCCCCTCCCCGTCACCTCCCCGTCGCGTCCCCGTCCCCTCCCCGTCGCCTCCCCGTCGCCTCCCCGTCCCCTCCTCGTCGCCTTCCCTTCCGCGACTGCGGCTGTGGGGAGGGGAGGTGGCGTGAAGGGGGTGGCCGCCGTGAGCCCCTGCAGCCCCACCCTCGGCCCTGCCTCTCCCCTCTCGCGGCTGCTGCTGTGGGGGGGAGGTGGCGGGGTCGGGGGGTGGGGGAGGGGGTTTTGCCGCTGTGAGAAGGAGCAGAACTGCTGCCTCCTCCTCTCGCTCACTCCCGCGTCTGTCGTTGAGGGGGGGGGGCTGAGGGGGTGGCGGTAGGGCTTTCGCAGGGACTAACGTGGGTTGGGTTGGGAAGGGTCTGGAGGGAGGGTGGGGGGGAGGGGGTGAGGTTCCAGGGGGCGGCTGAAAAGGGGGGGGTGAGGTTCAGGGGGGTGGTTGAATGGGGTGGGGATTTGGGGGTTGTTAAGAGGGCTTGGCCGGCAGTGAGCTGTCACGCTCATGCACGCCCCCCCACCTCCTCTCCTCATCCCTCACTCAACCCCCCCTTCGTAAAAGGGGGTTGTTGAGAGGGACGGCCGGCAGTGGGCTGTCCCTCATGCACGCCCCCGCACCTCCTCTCCTCATCCCCCTCTCTTACGTCCTCCTATGTACATCTCTCCTCTCTCTCTCTCGCCTCCTCTTCCTCGCGTACCTCTTTGTCGTCTCCCACTGCGCCACGTGTACCCCTTCATGGGGTGAGGCTACGCTAGCTCCTGCTGCATGAAGTTATGGGGGTGTGTTAGAATATATATTTTATATATATTTCTATATATCTGCATATACTTGTAGTTGTAGTGTAGTTATGCTGTTTCCTGTAGGTGGTGCACCTTTCTTTGTTTGTTTGCTATATGTACTCTCTGTGCTATAGTGAACACAACCATTCTTACTTCTCTTGGCTCAACTCACTCGATACCTCCTTGGCCTATGCTACTAAGCCTAGGCCCTTGTTAAACCCGCTTCCCAAGTTAAGATGCCATCAACATCAACTCCGGCTTGTCCGTCTCTTCTTCCTCCTGAGCCATCATCGCCGGCCTCTTCTCTTCTCCTGCCTCTAGGTCAGCCAGCTGCGCCCTTAAGCGAGCTATCGTCGCTTGGCGAATCCCGCCTCCTCTCCTCCTCGACGTTCTCTACGACTGGCGTAGCACTCTCATTCACGGTCCCCGCGCCTGCCGCACCGCGCGCATGTTGGTGGTTCCGGACATTCCCGGCGCATGTGCGCACGATCTCCGCATAATGAGCAAGCCGCAGGGTTCCGGCAATCCCTTCGCAGATGGCCGCGTTGTCCGCAATTGTGGCACCTACAGCTATCGACCCTGCTGCGTTCTTCCGTTCCTTGGTACGCCGCCGATGCCACCCATGTCGGACGCCTTCGCTCTGGTCCTCGCTCTGCCGTTCTCTCCACCTCATACCGCCGCCGGCCCGTCTCCACCCTCTTCACCACTTAATACGCCTCCTTCAACGTAGCCTCCGGCCCCAGATAAAACACTCGCACTTGCACATCCCGCTTCAGATCCGCAAGTAGTCCATTCAGGAATTTACTGATGGGCCTTCCTTGGACTTGGCAGTTCATATCTTCACCGAGCTCCACTAGCCACCCGTAGTACGCGAGGAGAGACTCACTGTCTCGTCGTCGAAACTCTCTGAATGGGAGTTCATCTCTGTTCATCTCTCAAGCTGCTCACGCAGCATCATTCCTGCGCCGTCGGCAGAAATAGAGGAGAGACCACCACCCGCTCTGCCGTTTGCAGCGGGAACTGCTCACGCAGCATCATTAGAAACCGCGCCGTCGGATCTCGCTCCCACGGGGCTCGTCCTGGCGACCCCGGCCATCTCTGCTTCGAGTGTCCCGACCGCGACGACTCCGTCGACGACGACCGCAAGGGAGGCTGCGGGAGGTCGGCCAACGATCTTCAAAGTCGATATGAGAAGCCGCACAAGGAGAAGCAGACGTCGATGAAGACATCGCCGACGAAGGACGTCGACTCCTCCAGCGGCAAGGGCCGAGGCGACGGGGAGGCGTCGTGCTCGATGGTCGGCGTTGTGGAGCCGACCCTTTCGCTTGCGCCGGAAGCCGGGGAGAACTTCAAGGCGGTCGCGGCCGCTGTGCAAGCGAATCCGATGGTGGTGCTGCTCGACAGCGGTTGCTCACACCACCTGATGGGGACGCAGGAGGTCTTCGTCGACATGGCGCCGAGCGGCGACGTGAAGCAAGTGCGCGGCTTCAACGGGGCTCTACAGACCATCGAGGGTCGTGGCACCGTCGCTCTGCAAGGGGAGGCCGGGAAGTAGGTCCTCATCCCTGACGTGCTCTACATGCTGGGCGTGCAGGCGAACCTACTGTCAGCCGGCCAGCTGCAGGAGAGCGGTGTGAAGCTGCTGGACGACGGCGACGAGATGCTGCTCGTGTCGAGTGCAAGCGAGGTACTCGGTCGAGCACGCTACACTGGTCGTGTCCTCTGCACCGACCTTCGCCACTGCTCGACGGAGCCGGTGCAAAGTCGACCGAAGTGGTGGCTCTGCGGACGACCGCTTCAGCGACGAAGTCGACGCCCGGCAGGTGGCACGCGAGGCTCGCTCACGTCAACGTCGGCACGATCAAGAGTTAGGCGAAGCACGAAGTCGCCACCGGCCTCGACATCAAGCTGTCGACCGGAGCTGACTTGCCGTGTGTCTCGTGGGTCGGCAGGAAGCTGGCGCGGCACACCTTCCCCGACAAAGGCTCGGATGCCGAGGAGGCCCTGGCTGTCATGCACATTGACTTGTACGGGCCATTCCGTGTGGCTGCCAAGGACGACAGCTTGTATTTCCTCCTGCTGAAGGACCTCCACACTCGATTTGTGTGGGTGAAGCCGGTCGCTAAGAAGAGTGACGTGCTGCGGGTGTTCGACAAGTGGCTGCTCGTGGTGGAGCGGCAGACGAAGAAGACGGTGCTGATGCTCCGCTCCGACCGCGGAGGAGAGTTCCTCGGGCGGGAATTCACCGACTTCGTCGACGGGAAGGGCATCGTCCACGACCTGACCTGTCCGTACACTCCGCAGCAAAACGGCATGGCTGAGCAGGAGATGCGCACGGTCGTCGAGTCCGTGCAGACGATTCTGCTGCATATGGGCGTGCAGCACCTCTAGTGGCTCCTCGCCCTGCGGCAGGCCGTCTGGGTGCGCAACTGCTTGGAGCGGTCGACGACGCCGCCGGGGACGACACCGTACCAGCTGCTGACCGGCAAGAAGCCCGATCTCACGCTGGCGCGGGTGTGGGGCTGCATGGTGCAGTTTATGGTCCCCGAGCAGCAGCGCGGTGGGAAGATGGCGCCAAAGGCTCGCTGGGGACTTCACCTTGGGGTGTCACCGGAAAGCAAGGGCTGGGAGGTGCTCGACTTCACTGACAACAAGGTCGTCGCGTCGGTCGAGGTCATCTTCTACGAGACGCTGTCACAGGAGGTGTGGAAGGTGAATTATGGGCCGGCGTCGGGTCGGACGCAGGCACACCCATCGACGGACACCTTGACCGCGACTTTCCCGTTGCTCGTCGAGGTCGACGAGCCCGTTGACGAGGACGTCGAGACAGTTCTCCCCCCCCCCCCCTCTCGTCGCCAACCTGCTTGTGCCGTCACCGTTGTCGACCACCGGCGATGAGAGGAGCCTTGAGGCGTCGCCTCTGGCGCCGGCCAGTGGCATCGCCGGCGGTCGACGTGCGGCCAAGCTTGTCGACAAGGCTGTGCAGCCGTCTACGACAGGGGAGCAGCAAACATGGGAGCAGGTGCAGAAGGAGGCAGCAGAAGTGCCGCCGACAGGGGAGCAGCAGACGGGGAAGTCGGCAAGCGGGCCGACGAGAGGGGAGCAGAAGGTCGAAAGGCCAACGATAGCGAAGCAGCTCGTCGACAACGAGGATGTCGATAATGAAAGGGAGTTGTTGATGGTGTAAGGGCCTAATAAACTCAAGTTATTAAGACCTAATCAAACTTAATACCTCTCCTCGGGGTCACCTCCAAGGGTCCTTGGGTGCCTGGTACAAGACCAGCCCCTATCTTCGGGTCCGAGTTTGTAGAGAGAGGGACCAAGAATGACTTCGCCAGAATAACGAGAGTACCTTGTGCGTCGCGCAGCGTGCCGTGCAGACCGTCGATCGGATTAAGCTGAGAATTTGCTATATCGAAGCTCGTTCCAATAGCTTTAAAATAAGCCAAGTTGCCTCGCAAAAAGTTCTGCCATTACGGAGTTATGGCTCGGACAACGTTGGCCTAGCATCGTAGTGCTAGCATTCCGGTGACTCGGTAGCATTCCGCCGTCACACCGCGTAGAAACGAAATTCCAGCAAGGAAGGAATTCGCTTGAATCAAATTGACTATTTCCAGGTACAAACAGAGAAGGAACAAATAGTTCTAGCTAACAAGGACCTTGGGAATCAACCTGGGAACAACCAGGGATGATCCCAAATAATTCCAAGCAACAGAACCAACCTGGCTGGACAAAACAGCAGGTGGTAGGTTGGTAAACAACCTCTGGTTCTGTTTTTCCAACCTCGGAAAACAACAACCAGGTTCAGGTCCTAAAAACAGAACCTGTATTGTCTTTCCCCAACCAGACAAACAACATCCAACCTTCACCTAAATTGTACCCCTATAGTGCCTGCCCTGGTACACTATAGTTAACCATACAAAACAGTACAATTTCGAGTTGGATATAACTGAATCTGCGCATCCAAATGAACCGAACTGCAAAGCTTCCATCTTGGGTTCATTCGCGAGCTCGTCCTTTCTGCTTGCACTGTTCATAGCGCGTACAATGTTGTGCCGAAGCGCACATTGCACGAGTACCTGCAAATGCATCAAGCGAAAATTGCGAAAGCAAACAAACATACGAACATTCCATTCACACCCAAATGCATTCACACACGCATACTTGTACAAACAGACGGCAGGATGTCGTGCAATGTGAATTTGCACCCAACAGTTGTCAGCAGGAGAGGAGTCTACCGACAGCGACGTGTCACAATGTAGATATGGCTGGGGCGGCGGGCTACAGGTCTGGGGCGACTGTTACCAGGTGGGGCGGTTAAAACAGCGGGCTTCAGTTCCTGGAGCGGCCGATTTCTGGTGTGGCGGCGGTTTTCTGCTCATGGGGCGGCAGATCGCGGGTGAGGCGACGGCTAACAGATCGGGCGGGGGGTAAGGCAGCGGGTGGGGCCGCGTCTAATGGGTGGGGCGGCGGTTACGACGGTGGGGAACTGGTGGGGCGACGGGTCGCTCGTGCGCGCGGCTTCTGCTGTGCGTGCGTGCGACTAACGACGGGGCCGCGGGGCCCGCTAACGAAGGGGCCTCGGGGCCCACGGTCGAAAGGCTGCGGGGCCCGCTAACGAAGGGCCGCGAGG